ACATATGCAATGGCACCGAGTGCAGGAAGATCACAGGCCACTGGGTGGAAAGTCCTGTGGATCCAGTGGTGGCGGAAGCATCTTAGCACTGGCGGGGGTCTCCACGTGGCTGAAATCATTCTTACACACTGTAATTCAACTTCAGAGTTTCCCATTCAACGCTTCCTACACACCGTTCAACTCGGTGGCAATCCATTGACATGTCATGGCCTCTCCCACTTCCTCCAGGTGTTTCCTGTCCCCATCCCTCCTCCTTTCCTCACCCTCTGAACTTTGTCCTTGGATCAATGCTGCCTTCTTTTCCTTAACAGTTGTTTATTCTAACACAGGGGTGAGTTTAGTTCTCCACCTAAACTCTGGGTCACCTTAGGGGTGACTAAGGGCTACAGGCTTGAAGGTCTCAGCGGTTCCTGTCGTCTGACCAGTACGCTTGGTCTCTTTTATGATTTTGAGTTTTGTTCCATAGTTTCCTCCCACTTGATTCAGGACTTTCAAATGTGATCCTATTCAGAGCAGTCCGTAGCGGTAGCCGGGCACCATCTGGTTCTTCCACTCTCAGGGTTGTAGAGACCCTTGGGTGTGCCTGGCCCATGAGTCCACGTTTCCATGTCTGACCTCTACGTCCTCAAGCATGATGCCATGCTCCAGGGAGCGGTGTCTTCTGATAACGTGTCCAAAGTGCGGGAGAAAAAGTACCACCATCCTTGTGTCTCAGGAGCATCCTGGCTGTACCTCTTCCGAGACAGATTTGTTGGCTCTTCTGGTACCAAGACATGTAGGCGGACACAGACAATGGCTCAGACAAGCCTGTTCACTTAGACACAGACACGTTCACATGGATACTGACATGACACACACAGACACTTGCGTGTAGAGACCCACAGAACACAGATGCCAATGTACAGACTTCACAGACAGAGAGACACACACACAGTCACCCACACAGACACTAGCACATACAGCTATACAAGTGTAGCTCACACACAAGCACACAGAGACACTGACACACACAGATGCACAAGCTTACGGACCAACACCTAAGTACATGAGAAACTAGCTCAGAGATGCACATACACGGGTCCCCAGGGGCATACTCTCCCACAGCCTGCACGTCCACCACACGTTCACCTACTGAGGCTGCAAAAGACAGGAGTCCCAACATGCGACCTACTCTGTTGATGCCTCTCACTCACGGCCGTCAAGTGGATGCCGACTCATAGTGACCGCCTCTGGGCTTCCGGGACTGTAACTGTTTACAGGAGGTGAAAGCCCGGTCGTTCTCCCAAGGAGCTGCTGGTGGTTTTGAACTGCCAGCCATGCGAATCCCAGCCCAGTGCATAACCAGTACACCACCAGCTCCTGGTAATGACCCTATAGGCTGGGGCAGAACTGCCGCTGTGGGTTTCTGAGCCTGTAACTCTTTACAGGAAGAGAAAGCCCCGTCTGTCTCCCACCTGCTACTGTCTGTTCTGTTCGATTTTTTCCCCCATTCAGAAGCTGAGAGGATCTGTGAGAAAAAAAAAACCCAGGATGGGAAGGGATGTCTAGGGAGAAAGAGTACTTGGGAAGAGCAAACCGTGCGATGCTGGCTGACACAGGTAAGGGGCTTCGCACCCCTCCGAGTCTCAGTTTCCTCTTGTGCACTCCCCACCTGGGGGAGAGGGCTTTTGTGAAGCCTGACTGAGCCAATACACGGCATACACGTGGAGCCCTTAGAACAGGGTCCACATGCAGTCAGCAGGAGGCCAATGTCTATGGTACTTTATACTTTCTATGGTGTGGACTTTAGGAGGAGCCCTAGTGGCAGAGTGGTTAGGAGGTGGGCTGCAACCAGCAAGGTTCACAGTTCGAAACTACCAGCCACCCCTCGGGAGAAAGCCGGGGCTTTCTACTCCTGTAAACAGTCCAGTCTCAGAAACGTACAGAATCAGGTCTACCCTGTCCTATAGGGTCACTGTGAGTCGGCATGGACTGGATGGCAGTGAGTTTCGTGTGGGGTTCATATATTTTGGGGGAGGGGGGTTGAAGTCCTCCAGGAAAATAAAAGTAACAGATAAAAGGTGGGCGCAAACTAACAGAAACAATGCTGCCTGAGGCCCCAAGAAATGAATGTCATGGCTGTCCCTGGGCCATACCCTCGCCAAAAGATGGAACTGCATCGCTTGATCTCGTTTTAGTTCTGTGTCTGTCTCTCTATTGTTCTCTCTCTCTCTCTCTCTCTCACACACACACACACACACACACACACACACACACACACACATTCAGGTCCAGTCCTAGGTCACAGCCCTGGTCCATTCCTGCAAACTCCCTGCCCGCCTATCGCCCCCTGCCCCGCCGGCAGCCCTGTCCCCTCACCATACACGGTGATGTTGGTCGAAAGGACGATCTGGGAGCCATTGCAGAAGCCAGCACAGAAGATCTCTTTGTCGGCTGTCACGTTGCTCAGGCGGAAGGCTACCCAGCTCGGACCTCTGCCCGCAGGCTCCTTCAGCAACTCCGTCTCCAAGACAACGTTCCTGGCATCCGGGCAGTCAGCACTGCAGTTCACCGTGACCGCCTCCCCGGTGAGCACCACTGGGTCCCGGGGCTCCACCCGCAGCGGGGCTGACTGTCCTCGGCTCCCTGTAGGGGCATGCAGATGTTGTGCCGCCCACTCCTGTCGCCCCCAGCCCACCCCTACCAACCCCCTCCTGGTTCTGGGATAGGAGAGGAAGCCGCTAGCTAGGGTGGGTGCCTGCACTCAGGGAGCGGGGAAGACAGCTGGACCAGGGACAGAAGGCCTGAGGGACAGCCTGGTCCAGCCGGAAGGAGGGGCTTCCCTGGGGAGGGGACGCCCACAGGCAGTGGTGAAGGGACAATAAGAGTTGGGCGAAGGGAAGGGTTGTTCTTGGCAGAAGGAACAGCACAACAGCACAGGCAAAGGCCCACGGTCCCCATGGCTCACAGTGTGTGCGCACACCCGGGGCACAAGTCACGCGAGGGGACTAGGCTGCCGAGAGCCTTGAGACCTGCATAGGAAGCCACAACTTTCTCCCAAAGACACATTTGGGCTCCAGGAAGGGGACACTGGCCAGGCCAGCAGGATACAGGCACCCCCCACCCCCCACCTGATGGTCCCCTAAGCCCCCACCCCTCACCTGGGGACAGCAGATAGCAGACCAGCAGCAGGAGGCCTAGCAGAGACTGGTGGGCCTGGACCAGGGGCCCAGAGGGCATCATGGTTGCCAGCTTTGGGGGGAAAAGAAGGTGCCCTGGGGAGGTGCCGGCAGTCTTGAAGGGAGGGAGTAGGCGGGCCACCGGGGAACGGAAGTGGCGGTTAGGATTGCAGAAGCCAGGGGCTAGATTGTGCCCAGGCCCAGGCAGGGCAGAGAGATGCTCTGAGCTCTGATGGGGGTGAGTGGACACTCCCTGGGCAGGAGTCAGGCCCAGGGGGGCGTTAGGTCCTGGCAAGTCTCCCCCAGGCCTGACCTCAACTGCAGGTTGACTCCCAAGTGAACTGGTAGGAAATGTTTCGGTAACCAGCTTCCTCTATTCTCAGTACAAAGCTGGCAGTGGGGGGGGGGGGGGGGGGGGGGGGGGCGGCGGAGGGGGGCCATGATGAGATACCTCCTTCCTGCTGAACTTGGGTAACAACCAATAGGCTCTTAGGAGGAAGTTCTGGGGGACCTATGCACTTGAAGAGGTAAGGTGAGATTTCCAGGCAAACTTTCTAAAGGGGTGACTGGGAGGCATTTCTAAGCACAGCCTCAAGACAACATGACATTCCCGGGGTGGGGGACAAAGAAGGGACTTGGGGACGTTGAGGGAGGACCGCCTCCCATGAGTTACGCTGCTGCTGCTGCTGTTAGGTGCCACCCGGTCCCACAGCGCCACCCTCACCGTGGTTCCTGCACCCCAGCCCACTGCTAAGCCTGCGTTTACTGAGCGTGTACCAGGTGCTGTGCCCTGGT